GGCACGTCCCCTGGCACGTCTCCTGGCGCGTCCCTTGGGACGTTCCGCGGCGCGTCCTCCTGGCACGACCATTGGCACGTTTCGTAGCGCGTCCCCCTGGCACGTCCAGCGGTGCGTCCCCATGGCACGTCTCCTGGCACGTCGCCTGGCGCGTCCCTTGGGACGTTCCGCGGCGCGTCCTCCTGACATGTCCCCTCTGTCGATTCGTTCTGGGGCGGCTACCATCTGCTCAGGCAGCTCGAGCTTAAGATCCAGATCAGTTCGGTTAGGATTCGAATGCCAGGGAGGACTCGATCCAAAACGTTATATAGAGCATAATCGCGGCACGGCACATCGCAGTTCAGCACGGCGCAACACAGCACAGCCCTCGGCACGGTACATCAAGATCGATGCACTCAACATTGCAATTTGGCACGTTCCGTGGCGCGTCCCGTGGCGAGTCCCCTTGGTACGTCGCGCGGCGCGTCCCTTGGCACGCCCGTGGCATGTCCATTGGTACGTTCCGTAGCGCGTCCCTTTGGCACGTCCCGCGGTGATGGCACGTCCCTTGGCACGTCGCTTGGCCCGTCCCTTGGGACGTTTCGCGGCGCGTCCTCCTAGCATGTCCCCCTGTCAATTGGCTCTGGGGCAGCTACTATGTGCTCAGGCGGCTCAAGCTTAAGATCCAGATCAGTTCGGTCAGGACTCGGATGCAAATGAGGACTCGATCCACAACGCTATAGAGCACAATCGCGGCATGGCACATCGCAGTTCAGCATGGCGCAGCACAGCACAGCATTCGGCACGGTACATTAAGATCGATTCATTCAGCAGTGCATTTGCCCGTCTCCCAATCAAGTGTCTTTGAAACGCCACCATGCCTTACATTTCTATATTCCTTTCCGGGTTCGTGGGTCGATCACGTTTTCCGGCTTCGTGGGTAAAGTCCAATTCGGAGTGAAAAAATGCGTTTCGCGCGTGCACTCTCGAGGAAAGTCGACCCCCCAGCTCGGATCCTCGATAAATAACAGGGTGCGCGGACCACCATATACCTTTGTAAAAACTAAGGTGCGGGCAAGTTTTAGCAGAATCTTTATATAAAACATGATGGACCCACGAACCCGGAAAGGGATATAGACATGCGCAGCATGGTCACGTTTTCACGATACCCAACTGGGCGACATCTCACAAAACATCCCACGAGACACCCCGCGAAACATCCCACGAGACACCTCGCGAAACATTCCACGAGACACCTCGCGAAACGTTCCACGAGACACCCCGCGAAACATTCCACGAGACACCCCACGAAACATTCCACGAGACACCCCACGAAACATTCCACGAGACACCCCACGAAACATTCCACGAGACACCCCACGAAACATTCCACGGGGGTGCGACTGGGTGTGGTCGTGCTGGGGTGTGGTCGTGCTGGGGTGTGGTCGTGCTGGGGGGGTGGTCGTGCTGGGGGGTGGTCGTGCTGGGGGGGTGGTCGTGCTGGGAGGTGGTCGTGCTGGGGAGTGGTCGTGGTGTGCGTGCTGGGGCGTGGTCGTGCTGGGTGTGGTCGTGCTGGGGTGGGGTCGTGCTGGAGTGTGGTCGTGCTGGGGTGTGGTCGTGCTGGGGTGTGGTCGTGCTGGGGTGGGGTCGTGCTGGGTGGGGTCGTGCTGGGGTGTGGGTTCGTGCTGGGGTGTGGTCGTGCTGGGGAGTGGTCGTGCTGGGGTGTGGTCGTGCTGGGGTGCGTGCTGGGAGCTGGGGTGGTCGTGCTGGGTGGGTCGTGCTGGGGTGGTCGTGCTGGGGTGGGGTGCTGGGGTGTGGTCGTGCTGGGGTGTGGTCGTGCTGGGGTGGGGTCGTGCTGGGGGGGTCGTGCTGGGGTGTGGTCGTCGTGGGGGGTGGTCGTGCTGGGGTGGGGTCGTGCTGGGGTGGGGTCGTGCTGGGGTGTGGTCGTGCTGGGGTGGTCGTGCTGGGGTGTGGTCGTGCTGGGGTGTGTGTCGTGCTGGGGGGGTGGTCGTGCTGGGGGGTGGTTGTGCTGGGGCGTGGTCGTGCGTGCTGGGGTGTGGTGAGGTCGGGATTTCAAAAACAAGCGTTTCGCTCGAGACATCCTCAAATTTTAATTCGCCGGCCTCAAAAACAAGCGTTTCGCTCGAGACATCCTCTAATTTTAATTCTCGGGCTCGTTATTTATCAGGGAAAAATTCGCCGGCCTCCTTCGACCTCGTTATTTATCAGGGAAAAAATTCGCCGGCAATTCGCCGGCCTCCTTCAAGCAGGCACCGGGGGACTAAGTTTACAAACTAAAAGAGAACCCTGGGCTTAAGCCCTTTCCGGGAAAAAATCAGGAGCCCCGACCGCGACGCGGAAAAACGTCCCGCGCGCAGGAATTCCGAGGATGTCTCGCGCGTGCCGCGTCCCGCGCGCAGAAATTTTTGAGGATGTCTCGACTAATTCGTTTGTTTTCCCCGGAAAGGGCGGGGGCCCAGGGTTCTCTTTTAGTGTGTTCACCTCCGGTTCTGACGTCTGTAGGGCCGGCGAAATTATTTTGCGATACATAACAAGGTCGCGTAGGGCCAGCAAATTAGAATTTTGAGGATGTCCCTAGCGACACGCTGGTTTTTGAAATCGCGATCGGTAAATCACAGGGTGCGGGACACGTTTTGGTCAGGGGAACGGATCCCGGATTACGCATGTTCCTATATACGGGCCTTTCCACTACTTCTAGATTGGCCCTCTCCAGGGGCTCGAATATGTTAGGTGTCCAGGCCACCCAGGGGGATATATAACATGGTTGTCCCGAGCAAGGACACGTATTTTCACGTTTCGCAGCGTGTCCCCTTGGCATGTCCCGCGGTGCGTCCCCATGGCACGTCCCCTGGCACGTCGCCTGGCGCGTCCCTTGGGACGTTCCGCGGCGCGTCCTCCTGGCATGCCCCCCAGTTAACTAGCTCTAGAGTAGTTACTATGTGCTCAGGCAGCTCGAGCTGAAGATCCAGATCAGTTCGGTCAGGACTCGGATACAAAGGAGGACTCGATCCACAACGCTAGAGCACAATCGCGGCATGGCACATCGCAGCTCAGCACGGCGCAGCACAGCACATCCCTCGGCACGGTACATCAAGATCGATACATTTAGCATTGCAACCTGGCGCGTTGCTCGGCACGTTTCGTGGCGTGTCCCGTGGCGAGTCCCCTTGGCACGTCGAGCGGCGAGTCCCCTGGCACGTCCCGCGGCACGTCCATTGGCACGTTCCGTAGCGCGTCCCCTCGGCACGTCCCGCGGTACGTCCCCATGGCACGTCCCCTGGCACGTCGCCTGGCGCGTCCCTTGGGACGTTCCACGGCGCGTTGGCATGTTCCCCTGTCAATTAGCTCTGGGGCAGTTACTATGTGCTGAGGCAGCTCGAGCTTGGATGCAAAGGAGGACTCAATCCACAACGCTATAGAGTACAATCGTGGCATGGCACATCGCAATCCAGCACGGCGCAGCATATCACAGCACTCGGCACGGTACATCAAAACCGAAACATTCAGCATTGCATTTGCCCGTCGCCCAATCAGGTGCCTTTGAAACGTTGCCATGCCTGCCATTTCTAAACTCCTTTCTGGGTTCGTGGGTCGATCATGTTCCAGGAATTCTGCGGCCACACAGGGGGGTATCTAACATGTTTTGCTAGAGCGTGAACATGTTGAGTTTTTGTGTGCCCGCTCGAGGATGGTGCGCACCCCGCGCCAAACAATCGAGGATGTCTCGAGCAAAACGCTTGTCTGGCAAAACTTGAAGGACCTGGGCGCCTCAGCATGCCCCAGGAGGCCCTGGGAGCGCGGACGCTGCGTAATCTACGAGGGATCGTGGCGCTTGGAGCGCGGACCACGCGTAATTTGCGAGGGATCGTGGCCCTCGCAGCGCGGGCGCAGCGTAATTTACGAGGGGTCGGGGCCTTGGGAGCTCGGACGCAATGTGATTTACGAGGGATCGTAGCCCTTGGAGCGCGGGCGCAGAGTAAAATAGTAGGGATCGGGGTCCTGGGGGCTCGGTCGCAGTGTGATCTACAAGGGATCGTGGCTCTGGGGAAGCGGACGCAGCGTAATTTACAAGGGGTCGGGGCCCCGGGAGCGCAACCCCAATGTAATTTACAAGGGATCGTAGCCCTGGGAGCGCGGACGCAGCGTAATTTACAAAGACTCGTGGCCCTGGGAGCGCGTCCCGTGGCACGTCCATTGGCACGTTCCGTAGCGCGTCCCCTCGGCACGTCCCGCGGTGTGTCCCCATGGCACGTCCCCTGGCACGTCGCCTGGCGCGTCCCTTGGGACGCTCCGCGGCGCGTCCTGCTGGCATGTTCCCCTGTCAATTAGCTCTGGGGCAGCTACTATGTGCTGAGGCAGCTCGAGCGTAAGATCCATATCAGTTCGGTCAGGACTCGGATGCAAAGGAGGACTCGATCCACTACGCTATAGAGCACAATCGCGGCATGGCACATCGCAGTTCAGCACGGCGCAGCACAGCACATCCCTCGGCACGGTACATCAAGATCGATACACTCAGCATTGCGTTCGCCCGTCGCCCAACCAAGTGTCTTTGAAACGTTGTCATGCCTTACATGTCTATGTTCCTTTCCGGGTTCGTGGGTCGATCATGTTTCACGACGCAAAGAAGGTCTGGCTTTTTAGTCAAAACTCAAGTTTCTGGCGGCCGTCCGGAGCTATCCAAGAAATCCCAGAACGTCCTTGGCGAGGCGCAGCTGCTGGAAAGCCTCCCGAGGCTGGAAACCATCTGAATTCCACGAAAACCCCAAACCCCTCAGATGTGGGTCGGCGGCCAGCCCAGGGGGGAATTGAGAAGGCGGGCCTCCTCAGAAGGCTCGGAAGTCCCCCGGCATTGTGAACAGTGTTCTATGCCTCCCCCGAAGACACAGAAAACTTCGCAGAAGGCCGGAGGGCTTCTGAGAAGCCCCGCCGCCTTCCAAGAGGGCCTTCTCCTTCTCACTCCCCACCCTCGCTCGCCGCCGAGTCAAGTCCCCCAGCTCCTCGCACTGAGCAGGGGCGCAGGAACGCGAGCCGCACGAGCCAGGCGGCGGCTGGAGCGGAGCCTGGGGAAACAGCAAGACATCGATACCGCTTCTCTCTGGACCTCTTCGGGGGTGCACTCGGACGAGGATGTCCGAGGCGAGTCCAGCCGCGCCGACGAGCGAAGCGCACAACAGTGGGCACGTCAAGTAAGAAGCCAACCTGCCAGCAGGTGCCCCATGGGGACTCCTTAACTATCCCGTGGGCCTGGGGACCTTAGAAACTCGAAAGATCGACGACGAATGTACCACCATATTTCTTGTTATTAGCAAGAGCTCTGACCGCGCGTCTACTGTATTGTGGCGGGGCGGGCGGCAGCGGCAGGAGACCTGCCCCGTCCGCAGAAGGAGGCGACGCGCGCGGTGGGCAGGGCGACTGGCGGGGTGCGCGTGGCACCAAGCGGACCCCGACCGTCGCTGAAGAACTCCTTCGGCAATCTTGGCCGACGGGGGCTTCACTGGCGGAGCGGCCCGGGCGGCCGAGCGGAGCACGAGACCAGGCTTGCCACCCTGATGCCTGACTGGCCCAAGACATCTCTCTTGCCCCTTTGCTGGCGTGGCGAGCGTGTGTGTATCCCTTCCTCCTCTGAGAACCGGCGGCGCGGCTGCGGCCCCGCCCGCGCCGGCCCACCCCGGCGGCAGGGCCAGCCTCGCGGCCTCCAGCGAGCCGGGGGCAGCCCCCGGGCGCCCCTGCGGCTGTCCCGCCTCGCGCCGGGGCGTGCAGGACCAGCCAAAATTGAACCCGATAGCCGGATCGGCTCGGAACGCGCGTCGGAGAAGGCCACACCGGCACGGCATGGCAATTGGTTCGGTCGCGCCAAAACCTACAACTGGCCACGCAAACATAAGGCCGCATCGGATCGCCGGAACACCAGAATCGAATCGGGTCGACCCGGCCGGAATCGGCAGCGAATGGGATCAGATCGAAGCGGAGCAAGCACCGGGTCAGCCCCAGCCCGGAGCCTGAGCGCTCCGCCCTGGCTCCACGGCTGCCCTCCTCTGCTCCTCGAACTGCCGGAAGGCCAAGGCCGCCAGGTCCTCTTGCCCCTCCATGGCTCGCGAGCCCGCTGCGCCGGCGGACGCTGGCTTAAGCTCAACGGCTGGGTCGTAAAGGGGGGGCCACGACGGTCCAACAGGTCCCCAAGATGAGCCAAGAGGCCCCCAAGATGGCCCGAGAGTCCCAAGAGAAGTCCAAGAGGGCGAAAAAGGACAGGAGTTTCTGTGGAACTCACGTCATCCTGACCCCCGGCGCGCGAGGCAATGGCCCCACCGACCGCCCCCCCTGTTCCGTTTCCGGTGAGACCCAGGAAATCAGCAAGTCCAGCGAATCTGGCGACGAATTCCAAACAGGCGCCCTCGCGTGGGACATCCTCAGAAAAACCGGCCCCCGGAGCCTCCCCAAGGAGGCCCTCAGAGGCCCCTGTGTTCCGTTTCCGGTGAGATCTGGGAAATCCGGCGAATGAATTCCACACCGGCACCCTCGCGTGGGACATCCTCAGGAAAACTGGCCACCAGAACCTCTCCAAAGAGGCCCTCAAGAAGCCCCCCTGTCTTGTTTATGTTGAGGTGTGCGAATTCCGGCGAGTCCGGTGAATCTGGCGAATCCAACGACGAATTCCAGACCGGCGCCCTCGCGTCGTGAGACATCCTCAAGAAAACTGGGGGGCTGGGCCTGCCGGCGTCTGCGTCGAGACGCTCATGGCAGCCAGGGCGATTCCCACTTGGAGGAGCTGCGGGAGCGCCCCTGGGCTCCGTCACGGCGACCTCGAGAGATGCGGGTACTCTCCGCGACGCGGAAGCTTCGTGACTCACGCCCCGGGCCGCAGCTGCCCCCGCGGCGCTGCCAACTTCCTTGCCGGCAGGCTTCTTCTTGCGATTGCGAAGCTCCCCCAGCCTGCTGCGAAGCAGCTGGTTCCTCCCTGCCATCATGTCCTCCGATTGGCTCAAGAGGCTCGCGCGGCTGCTTGGGATGAGCTCGTGCTGCCGCGCCATGGTCGCAGACCCCCCGGCGACGCGCATACTGACCGACTTCAGTTTCTGCGTCAGGAGATCGCCGGCTCGGCCAAGATCCCCGCCGGTCATCGCGTCCAGCGTCTCGCAGATCGTCCGCAGCTTCTCGCCCAGTCGCCGCGCACGCTCGGAGGGTGCGCGGCATGGAAGATAGCGGTGAGGTACGCGACGAAGCGGCTGGCTCCCTGGACGGCTCCTGGAATTAACAGCGCCCCCTTCCCGAGCGGACGAACATCCGTCGATCCGTTCGAACGCGAGTGCCAGGAGCTGTCCGGGATGATCCCGCGCGAAGGCAACAACGTCCTCCTCGCCTCGGGTGGGGGCCACGCGAAAACCCGCGCCTGCGTCGCCGTCGCGACCGAGCCCGACGGACTGGCACGCTCTCCAGGACGTGGCCTGGGCACGCGGCCAAGTTGACTGGCACCCTTGCGCGCAATCGCGCTCTGGGCCATAGTCTCCACGATGCCCGCGGAGCTGGCCTTCCTGGGAGCCGCGCGCGGCTGCTCACCGTCAATGCTGGCGCGGAGCTCGTCGAGCCTGGAGCGGGGCCCCTGCGCCGCCGCCTCCGCCTCGCGCGCCGTCGGCCCGCGGGCGCGCGGCTGGCCACCGCCGCGAACTCACATCACGCGAGCGCCTAGCCCGCCACGCCCGCCGCGCTCAGCAGCAGCCACACCCCGGCGGGGTGGGCAGACAGAGATGCCGCCGGGGCTCCCAGCAGTTCCAGCACCATCCTCGTAGGCGCCGTCGGCGTCGTCGGCGCCCTCGTCGCGCTCCTCCTCGCACACGTTTTCCCGGGAGCCCCCGCGTCGAGGACGCGGGATGGCCCAGAGTGCAAGTGCAGCCCGCCGTTGGGCTCGACGGTGCACTCCTCTGGCGTGCACTCGCATATGTGGACGACCATGTCCCCATGAGCCTACGGAGCTTCCCGGACAACATCTTCTGGGTCAAAACGTCGGTGGAATGGATGAACGTCGTCTCGAACGTGTAGCCCTGGCCACGCCGGTATACCGGCGCCACGTCGACTCGGCACACCGCCTTTCCGAGGACGCATGCGCCGCCTCCAAGCACTGGGGCGAACTCGATGACGTCGTCTGCGACGACCTGGTCAAGAATGTCGCAGTGGTCCGACGACCCGTACTTGTACGAAGCCGTGGGGGCGCGAAAGCCCCCAGGGCACCCGCGGCGCGGAGCGCGAGCGCCCCCGCGAGGCGCCCTGGCCACCGCCGGCAGTGTCACGGTTTCCGCCCCCGCGGGACGGAGCCCCGAGACCGCCGCGGGCACCTCGGCCGCTGCCAATGCCGCGGTTTCCGCCCCCGGTCGGCGGAGCCGCAGCACGCCTGCGCTGCGACGCGACACGACAAGGGCGCCGCTGCCAGCGCCTGGGATGGGCCCGCGCGCCGGGGACCGCCCGCGTCGGCTCGCCGAGCCGCCGCGCCCACGGCCGCCCGCAGCGCCCAGGCCGCGCCCGCCACTGCTGCCACCGCGGCCGCGGCTCCTCGACCTGACGCTGGCAAGCCGTTTCATGGGCGGCACCGCGCCTGCGGGGGGGGTAACGCCGACGCGCGGCGCCACCGTGACATAGTAGCCACCTCCCGGGGCAGAGGAGTGCCCAGCCCCTGGAAGAGGATTTGTACAAGCGGTGTGCGCGGAAGGTCCAGGGCATCGCGCGCCGCCCTTGACCCGAAACGGCTCCAAGCTATTACAGGTGCGGCGCTCGCTGCGTGCTCTGCCCTCCCATCCATGACCCTAGCTGTACAAAGACACAGCCCCCCGCCTCGGAATCATCGCACACTTCCTAGCCCTGGAATTGGCCCGGGCGCCCAGCCATTTCTCGTCAGGAGCTCCAGACTCGAATGCCATATGTTTTTTCCCGGAAAGGGCTTGGGCCCAAGGTTCTCTTTTAGTTTGTAAACTGTCCCCCGTGCCATGTTGCGGAAGGGCCAGCGGAATTATTTGCGATAAATATCGAGGTCGGGAAGGGCGGAATCATGCTTGAGGATGTCTCGAACGAAACGCTTGTTTGTTTCAGAATTTGTTGAGTATATCTCGAGCGAAACGCTGTTTTTGTAGAGTTGGCGGATGTCTCGAGCGGGGGCCTCGTGGGGGGCCACAGAGGATGTCTCAGGCGAAATGCTTGTTTTCACGTGCCCAGGTCGGCCAAAGGGGTATTCAACATGGTGGTCCGTCGCTGGCGCCTCAAACGACCGCATGTTGGATACCTCCCCTGGGTGGGCTGGAACCGTGAATTTTTACCTGTGCAGGCCATCAGGGGGGTATCTAACATGGTGGTCCCGAGCTGGAATCATGTGTTTTCACGTGTCCAAACCACCCAGGGGTGTATCGAACATGGTGGTCCCAAGCTGGGACCACGTGTTTTCACATGTTCAGGCCACCCAGGAGGGGTATCTAACATGGTGGTCCTGCGCTGGAACCGTGTGTTTCAAGTGTCCAGGCCACCCAGGGGGGGTATCTAACATAGTGGTCCTGTGTCCAAGCCACCCAGGGAAGAATCTAACATGATTGTCCCGAACTGGAAGCACGTGTTTTTACGTGTCCAGGCCGCCCAGGGGGGATATCCAACATGGCGTCGGGCCCAACGCCGAATTATCAGAAAACGCACTGGGGGCCGAAAAGCGCTACCCGAACACATGTCCCAGTGATGTGTTCTTGCTCTGGACAGGGGGTGGCGCTTTGGTGGCCTCTCCAGGGAAGACAATGCAAGGATGTCTCGAGCGGGAGCGCGAATTCAGCATATCCAAGCCACGCAGGGGGGTATCTAATATGGTTGTCCCGAGCTGGAACCATGTGTTTTTACATGTCCTGGCCACCCAGGGGTGTATCAAACATGACTGTCCCGAGCTGGCACCACGTATTTTTGCGTGTCCAGGCCATTCAGGGGCGTATCTAACATGGTTTTCCCGAGCTGGCACCACGTGCGTTTGCGTGTCCAGGCCACCAAGGGGGGCATCTAACATGGTTGTCCCGAGCTGGCACCACGTGTTTTAACGTGCCCAGGCCGCCCAGAGGGGTATCTAACATGGTTGCCCCGAGCTGACACCACGTGTTTTAACCTGTCCAGGCCACCCAGGGGTGTATCTAACATGGTTGCCCAGAGCTGGCACCATGTGATTTTACGTGTCCAGGCCACCCAGTCGGGTATCTAACATGATTGTCCCGAATTGGAACCATATGTGTTTACGTGTCCAAGCCGCCCAGGGGATGGCGTCGGGCTCAACGCCGAATTATGAGGAAACGCACAGGGGGCCGAAAAGCGCTACCCGAACACAAGTCCCAATACAGAACATGTATGTGTTCTTACTCTGAACAGGGGGTTGCGCTTTGGGGGCCTCTCCAGGGAAGACAATGCAAGGATGTCTCGAGCGGGAGCGCGAATTCAGCGTATCGAAGCCACGCAGGGGGGTATCGAAAATGGTTGTCCCGAGCTGACACCACGTGTTTGTTTCGTGTCCCCCGAGCTGGAGCCATGTATTATTACGTGTCCAGGCCACCCAAGGGGGCTAACATGGTTGCCTCGAGCTGGCACCACGGGTTTTTTTACGTGTCCATGCCACCGAGGGGGGTATGTAATATGGCTGTCCCGAGCTGCCACCACGTGTTTTTACGTGTCCAGGCCACCAGCACGACGAATGCCCCCGGCACGTTCCGTACAGCGTCCCCTTGGCACGTCCCGCGGTGCACCCCCGTGCCACGTTCCCAGGCACATCGCCTGGCGCGTCCCTTGGGATGTTCCGCGGCGCGTCTTCCTGGCATGTCCCCTTGTCAATTAGCTCTGGGGCAGATACGATGTGGACTGTGCTCAGACAGCTCGAGCTTAAGATCCAGATCAGTTCGGTCAGGACTCGGATGCAAAGCGGGACTCGATCCATGACACTATAGAGCACAATCTCTGCAAAACACCTCGCAGTTCAGCACGGCGCAGCACAGCACAGCCCTCGGCACGGTACATCAAGATCGATACACTCATTCAGCATTGCAATCTGGCACGTTCCTTGTCACGTGCCGTGGCGCGTCCTGTGGCGAGTCCCCCTGGCACGTCGCGCGGCGCGTCCCTTGGCACGTTCCGTGGCACGTCCATCGGCACGTTTCGTAACGCGTCCCCTTGGCACGTCTCGCGGCACGCCCCTATGGAAGGTCCCCTGGCACGTCGCATGGCGCGTCCCTTGGAACGTTCCGCGGCGCGTTTTCCTACCATGCCCCCCTGCGAGTTAGCTCTAGGGCAGCTATATATGTGCTCAGGAAGCTCGAGCTCAAGATCCAGATCAGTTCAGTCAGGACTCGGATGCAAAGGAGGACTCGATCCACAACGCTATCGAGCACAATTGCGGCATGGCACATCGCAGATCAACACGGCGTAGCACAGCACAGAATTCGGCACGGTAAATCAACGCCGATACATTCAGCATTGCATTTGCCCGTCGCCGAATCAGGTGTCATTGAAACGTTGCCATGTCTTACATGTATGTATGTATTATATATATATATATGTATAGTATGTTTCCGGGTTCGTTGGTCGATCATGTTTGCTTAATGGATGCGCTCCTATTGTCCGAGCCTCGAAAACCAATGCGTTCTCGCAGCCCCCAAGCAAGACGGGACGCGCCCTCCAGATGAGATGCTGACTGCACGTGGAAAAAAACAAGAAGTCCTGAAATAATCGATCCACGAGCAAGAGGGGCCGGCACAAATTACGAACGACCGACATGTCCAGATCGGATCCATGCCTTCGCGGCGACCCGCGGTCTGGACGCCAAGGCGCGGTACTTTTCGCGATCCCGTGGATACGTTCCGCGCAGGGCATCCGCTCAACACCACCCAGCGCCCATAGGGTCGCGGCCCCGGATTCAAGATCCCGCAGCCATGGATGTAGCTACGTTTCCCGCCCACCAATGAAGATGAGCGTCATTTTCGTGGCCGTAATTCTGGGAACGCGCTGACGGCCGCAACGCTGCTGCGCGCGCAGCCTGACACTGCGGGCGCGCATGTATCGCTGTCCGGGCTCCACCCGAACGACTGGTGGAAGACGCGATGGCCCGCTACGCGTTCGCTGGCGGAATACACATCTCTATACAATGGGCATGATGGGAAGGCAAGACAAGACTGACGTTCGGATAAGACGGTTTCCCAAACTGGATACTGCAACACACGGGAGGAAATTCCGGGATGGTTTGCATGTTTAGCGTTTACTGGCAAGACGGTCTCCGGCACTGGCGGCAATTGTTTCGGGTTTGCTCCTTTTGCAAAAGAGCACACGGAGACCCATACACAATCGGCAATTGTACTAGGCACAAACATTCTGATGTCGAGAGAATTTCCCACAACAAATCTGATTGGGCGAAGAAAGAATAACGATTAGCCTGGCGAAGGACCCAACCAGATGCAGTTGCCAATGCCGCAGTTGCGAATACCATCTTCGCTCGCGCTCCCTATGTGGCCACGGCTCCCCGCCGGAGCCCGACATGCTCAGGAACATGTTCGTGGCCGTCTTCGCGGGCGCCGACGACGACAAGGACGGTGCCCATCTGACCGAGGATCAGCAGTAGAGGGCTTTGAGAGCAATGAGGCAGGAGGTGGCGTTGCACGTCGACAAGGCGGAGTATGACGCCCAGGCGCGGTTGTTGAAGCAGCACAATTATGGGGCCACGATCCTAGTGAGGGGTGTGCCGCAATGGCCCGGGGCCGCCATGCGAACCCTGCCGCTGGCGCCTTCGGTGGAGCTCCTGTGGGGCCACGATCCTCGTTAGGGGTGTGCCGAAACGGCCCGAGGCCGCCATGCGAACCCTGCCACTGGGGCCTTCGGTGGAGCTCCTGTGGGGCCACGATCCTCGTGAGGGGTGTGCCGAGATGGCCCGAGGCCGCCATGCGAACCCTGCCGCTGGCGCCTTCGGTGGAGCTCCCTATGGGGCCACGATCCTCGTAAAGGGTGCGCGAAATGGCCCGAAGACGCCATGCGAACCCTGCCACTGGCGCCTTCGGTGGAGCTCCCTACGGGGCCACGATCCTCGTGAGGGGTGTACCGAGATGGCCCCAGGCCGCCATGCGAACCCTGCCACTGGGGGCATTCGGTGGAGCTCCGTGGGGCCACGATCCTCGTGAGGGGTGTGCCGAGATGACCCCAGGCCGCCATGCGAACCCTGCCACTGGGGGCCTTCGGTGGAGCTCCCTATGGGGCCACGATCCTCGTGACGGGTGTGCCGAAATGGCCCGAGGCCGCCATGCGAACCCTGCCACTGGCGCCTTCGGTGGAGCTCCCTATGGGGCCACGATCCTCGTGAGGGGTGTGCCGAGATGGCCCGGCCCCTGCGAACCCTGCCACTGGGGGCGCCTGGCCCCCGAGGCCGCCATGCGAACCCTGCCGCTGGGCCTTCGGTGGAGCTCCCTATGGGGCCACGATCCTCGTGAGGGGTGTGCCGAAATGGCCCGAGGCCGCCATGCGAACCCTGCCACTGGCGCCTTCGGTGGAGCTCCCTATGAGACCAGCAAGCGCTGTACTGGGTGGGTGAAACAGAAGGAGGAGGAGGAGGAGGAGGAGGAAGGAGGAGGAGAGGAAGGAGGAGACGCGCGGCACCGTCTCTTCAAAACGAGGACCCAACACCACAGGATGGTTGGGAATTTGGGAAGGAGCCCTGCAGACCAACTCAAGAGAACAAACCACTTCCATGTAGACACCAAGGAGTGGACCTGCTCCGGGTTTGGTGAGGGACTGCCCCGCCGAGGGCGTGACCAAACATCAGCCCAAACATCCATGACATGATTTTCCCGATTTGCGGCCTGACCCCTTCCACAGGGGTATTTTTTCGTCCCGCGCCTGTGTTTCACGACCTCGGGGCCCGATAACACACCCCAGAGGCCGATATCGAAGGCAAAAAACAGATCGTGGGGGATCTGGGAGTACTGCCAAGGCAGACAACGATTGAGCAACATCGACGCAAGGGCGCGAACACTCAGAGAAGACTCAGAGAAGATACATCGACCACCGCCTCCGAATGACCGTCGGAGGGGGCCCACCCACCGCTCGACGATGGCGCGCCCGAGCGTCACCCAGTACCGGACTACGCTCATGCGTGTTAACGCCCAGGGGTGGATCCTCCCCCGATGGGTTCTCGATGGCAGTGGACTCCGTTTCTCCTCTGACCAGGGCTGTTGAGGCAGGGCAGACAGCGATTCAACAAAAATTCTGCATGAGTGCGCAAGCTGCCTGCTCTGGCCCGGCGGGGATAAGGACGCTTGAAAGTCGGCCTCACAGCTTCGCGCGCGGAGCCGAGGAGCGGCCAGGGCTCCTGGCGGAGGAGGGCACGGAGGCAGCCAGCACCCAATCGCAGAAACGGATCCGATCGGGAGTGGTCGAACCCGCAAGGGGTCCACTCCACGCTGCGGGGGAATCACTCTTTCGGGGGTCTCTGGAGGAGGGGGGAGCCTCGCGTGGAGAGATGGCCGACCGCGAACTGTGCCTGCGGAGGGAGCTCAGGGGTAGAAAGATTAGATGCTCGGCTCGTGCTTCGGGGGATCCCACGCTCGTCCTGCGGAAGCGTTCTTCGCGGCTTCTTCTCAGTACTGTGTGCCTTCTGCGCTGCCATCAATGCATGCGTACTTCCTTGAGTGTCTGACACCTTGTCGCCGAGGGTTTGGCGTCACTTGGAGACTTCTCGAGGCACGCGGATGCGGTCGCCTCGTGAGACGCGGCGGCTTGGTTGGCGCTACAGGTTCCGTGGCACTGTAAGGCACTGTAAGGCCCCGTGGGACGCGCGGATGCCGCCGTTGGGGCACGCATGGTGTTTTATTGCACAACTCATGAAGAATCTAAAACCTAGAGCACAACATGAGGGATCGCAGAGTCTCAAACTGGTTCGGGCACGGAGAGGCCGGCGCCGAAACGCGCTCCACGCGGGGAAGAAATTTGAACAACTGTTCGCCCGCCCGCGTCGGCTGCGCATGCGTGCGATGTGCGATAAGCATGGTGGACGCCATCGTCGACTTGGCATGTGTGTGAATGTCCCCTTGTACAAATTACCATGTATGTTTCCAACCTGCGTTCTCAGCCTGTATCATCTAGTGGTTGTAAGCGTGGGGTGCGCTTGGGGCACCTAGCCCCGATGAAAGTTGGGATTCATGTTGATGTGTGCTCTCAACGGTGAGGCTTGAGTGGGAACATTCTCACCAGCTCTCTGGGTGTAGGTGGTCTAGAGAGATTTCTCTTCCAACCCAATTCTTCCTCTTCGGGGAGGGGTTCACCCCTCCTCCTACCCCCTCCCCTGCACCTGGAGGGGGCGCCCCGCGAGGTGTCAGAGGGTACTGTTTCGCCCAAAACAGCTCGGAGAGGGTTTCAGAGAGCCAAAGATGACATCCAAGATGGCTCAAGATAGCCTAAGATGGCTCCAGATGGCTCCCAAGATGCTCAAAGAGGCCCCAAGAACGCTCCAAGACGGCTCCAAGATACCTCCGAGAGTTCCCAAGAGGCCGCGAAGAGGCAAACATCCTTCAAAAGCCGAATGGAAATCAATGAATGCTGCCTTCTCGCCTGTTCGCTTCCGATGGCCTTCCGAAGCCCCAAGACAGCTCCAAAGGGCCCACGGTGGCACCAAGAAAGGCCCAAGAGAGCCCCAAGACGGCCCCAAGAGCGCCCAAGAGCGCTCCAAGAGCGCCCCAAGAGGGGCCCAAGATGCGATGTTTGGGGCTCCCGAGGGTACAGAATTAGAGATCACATCTTGTTTGATCGATCTCCTCCTAGATGGCCCCGAGAGCGCTCCCGAGGCTCCCAAGAGCGCCTCGAGAGGGCCCCACGAGGAGGCCCCAAGAGGCGCCCAAGAGGCCTCCAAGAGGCTCCCAAGAGACCCCCAAGAGGCCCCAAGAGGCTCCCAGAGGCACTCAAGACGCTCCAAGAGGCCTCCACTGGAGGAACCTTCGATTGTGCGCAGCCCACTTCCCTGATCGAGGCAACTCCTCTGGGCATCGTCTCTGGATGTGCGGGTGGGGTTACTTTTTTTCAGCGGCCGCGGGCGAGCGCGCCGGCGGCGTGTCAGGTCAAAGCGGGCTGCGCAGAGACTAATTAGGCAAAAGGACGCGCGGGAAAAACAAACAGAGCGACGCGCGAGGCGACAACTAAGCGCGGCCGAGGCCTCAGATGGGGGGCTGTCGGGACTGAGACTGAGAGGAACTGACAGCGTGCACAGCTGCAATCTGGTGGGGTTACACGAAGCGGCAAGCATTTCCTTGGGATCGCGACGCTGCTCTTTTGAATCCAAAATCGCCCCAGGAGCTTCGCGGGTCGGGCACGAGCGGTGCAGATCTGTCCAGCCTGGCCTACTTGGCCGCAAGCCTGCTTGGGGACCGACATTAACGGCATTATACCACGCAAACATGTCGCGCGTGTTCCCTGCCGCATCTTTCCGCGGCGTTGCACACCGTTATCCGCTGAGGAAAACGGGTGGCAACATAGGCATCTGCTGTGGACATCAGCAACACCGCTCGCAGCCACCACTGCACCCACACGCAGACCCAGAAAGGCTCCCGACGAACAGGCAAACAAGTCGGACCTGAACACCTGCAAAGTGGCTCTTGCGTCTCGTGTCAAGAAGACGAATCCTGGAAGGATAAACTCACGCAATGACACGGTCATCATCAACAATGGGTGTGAGAAGGGAGGACCCTTTTGTCTTGTAATGCGCAGCATTTTCTCACCATAACAAGCTCTGACTTGTCCTGCATCGGTGCTCGGCAATGGACTCAGAGACGCCTCGGGTGCAGGGGCCCAATAGCATCAGATCGCACTATCCTAATTTCTCGGCAAGCATAGAATCCCACCGCGGCAAAACCACAATGTCGAGTCAAAACCCGTGGGGGCTGGGAGAGGTTATTCCAATTCTCACTTCAGTGATGGACGGCCCCCTGGAGACTAAGAAACAAGATCGCAACCTCAAGGGATGCAAGGTCTTTGGAATTGGGCCCCATCTTTTTTGCTGCCCCCGTTGCCGCCTATATTCGCTCTCCAGGAAGGCGTTCTCTCGAAAACCACTCCTTGAGCAGCCCCTTACAGCCACTCCGTTCCCGCTGGCTCTGGGCACTGAGTTGGCTCTGTACTTGTACTCGTGACGCGATGGTTCAGAACTTGATCGAACGCTTGTAGGGCTTATCATACCCTGATGTCAGGACCACGATGTTAAAGCCTGACACTGCCAAATCGGAACGCCGACACGGTTCAAATGACGATTTCAAGTAGATGCTATGGCATTCGGCACTCTGCCAGACACTCTGATTCCTGAAATAAATCCCACGTGTGTGTGCGCGCGGCACTCGAATTCCGCTTCTGTTCCTCCAACAGCTCGGACACTCAAGAGCTCTCACCCGCGTCTCCCAACACGTGGCTGGCATTGCCAGGTTGCCGGCTGGTCGCCGCCTGCGGGAGCCGACCGCCGCCGCCTTGTGCGCTGGCTGTCGTTTCCGGGCGTTCGGCCAGTCGCCGCCTGCGCGCGGGCGCCGCCTTGGGCGCCTCTGGGGTTCTCACTTTGATCCCTACATCGTGCTTGAACTCAGTCGATGCTCCTTGCGGATCTGAACGGTCGACTGACATTTACTTTTTTCAGCAGGTCGGTGCCCGTGGGCGTCCACAGCCGCTCCCTTGTGGGTTCGGCCTGTTGCCTGCCGTAGGCGCATGGGGTGAGGGCATCGTGGGCAGGTGAGCGTATAGACTGCTCCAGGTAAATTCCCACTTCTAGAAATTACCCTGGCGACGTGCCCAACCCCTGCGCAATGCGGGACAGGAGTAGCTTGGGAGATTTGACGAGAAGGCGGCGACGTGACATGGACGCATATACTTCTGCGAGCGGCAATCGGAAGGTTCGCAGATCCCCAATCAACGGAAAAACGATGAGTACCTAAGTAAACCCCTGAGTCACGAAGGAAGACGTAAGGTCCAAAAGGAGACTGTGGGCAATGGGATCGAAACGTCGGCGGGGCAGCAACAACATGACATGGCAGCCCCGGGACGGCGAGGTCTCGCTCAGGTCTGCGCGGTGCCTCACTCCGCTGGGCCCACCAGCAGCATTCGAAAGTGGCGAGCCCACCAGCAGCCCTCGAAAGTGGCGACAGTGTCGCAGATCGCAGCCCCCCAGGGACGGCGAGGTCTCGCTCAGGTCTGCGCGGTGCCTCACTCCGCTGGACCCACCAGCAGCCCCCGAAAATGGCGACAATGTCGCAGATCGCAGCCCCCAGGGACGGCGAGGTCTCGCCCAGGTCTGCGCGGTGCATCACTCCGCTGGACCCACCAGCAGCCATCGAAAGTGGCGACAATGTCGCAGATCGCAGCCTCCAAGCGACGGCGAAGAGAGGGCAGGAGGAGGGAGGAGGCGGGAGGAAGGAAGGAAGGACGCGCGAGTAGTGCTCTATTCGAAACGAATACACAACCAAGGAGGGTTGGGGAAAAGTTAGTAAACTACGTGGCGCCAGCGCTGTGCGATGGCAGCTATGAAATGTATTATGTGTGCCGAAAGCTGTGTGACGAAAACTACGCCATGACATATGTGTGGTGCAAGCTATTCGTGGCAGGCCATGTGGCGCATGCGTTGCAGGCTGGCTGATGCAATCTATGCGATGCAAGCTATGTGATGAGAGCTATGTGGCGCTCGGGGCGCCTACAGGGTGCCCTGCGCCCACGGCCGCCCATCAAGCGAAACCTTGGCAAATCCAGCCAGCGCGCGGGGCGCCCACGAGACGCCCACGGTGCCCATCCAACGAGACCTCGACAGACCAGGCCAGCGCACGGGGCGCCCACGTGGCGCCCACGGCCGCCCACCAAGCGCACACTCAGCAGACCCATCCATCGCACGGGGCACCCGCAAAGCGCCTACGGCGGCCCACCAGGAGAAACGCTCGGCATACCGACCCAATTACCCATCAAGACAGCTTAGCATACACAAGAAGGCGTTGATGGGGCCAGCGGTACCTACGGACCCTTCGCCAAAAACATCAAACCACGCTCGACGTTCTGCATTCGCGCACGCACTCGCACGACGCCATGCGAATGCACGCACTGGGGCCATAGGAGGCGATCCCTGGGCGGCAGGAAACGTGTGAGGGGTGTGCCGAAATTGGCGCGGGGACGCCATGCGAACGCACCCACTGGGACCAGCAGGAAACGTGTGAGGGTTGTGCTGAGATGCTTGCGGGGACGCCATGCGAACGCACCCACTGGGGCCATCGGTGGAGCTCCCTGGGGGGTGGGGGGGGACAGGAAACGTCTGAGAGGTGTGCCGAAATGGGCGCGGGGACGCCATGCAGGCATCGG